CATCCAGAGTCCGAACGGTACGTCCTGTGATCTCTGAGTGATACCAGCCGAGGTACCTCGTAATTGTAAATCGAACGGAATTGCTTCGAAATTAAATTGTGTTTCGTAATGAATTCCGTTGAACGGGGATTTTTACGATTATTGGTTTCCTATTAATCTTCCGTTCGGTATTGTAATTTTGACACAGGAATGATTGGCTTCGGAATAGGTTAGCTCTATGTGTCGAGAGTTGTGTTATATTTTACGATTGTTCAAATAATGTGTACGGTGAGTCGTAACATATTTCACGGTTATTAAGGTATCGAGTATATTACTGTACTTTGAGTGGAATATAAATTAAACGAGGATGCAGGCTTGAATATAAAGATGGAACGAGGAGCAGTCTGGATCAGAAGATAATGAAATAGCACGGATTAATTGACTACAAGCAATGTGTTACTTAAAGGCGTCAATAATTATTAGACCATATTCCGCGTTAATGCCGGATGATACGTGTAATCTTCTGTTCGCTGCTGAATATCTATCTCCAACTTCTTGCAGCTTCTCTACCTCAACGCTGTCTCTTCTCTCGAGAAGTCTGCAACTATTTCTACTTTTGATTGAAACATTTACAATTCATACAACGAACATTTCTGTACAGCTTCCTCGAATTCCCTACTCCGTCCGATAAAAAATTCCTCGAAATACCTTCGATTCCCATCCCAACTTCATCCACAACCGAATTACATGAAAATTCCTTATTATCAATAAGAAAAACGTGCACTTATCCTTTCCGAAGGTAAATACTCACTCCCAACAAACCCACATTCGTGTTACACATAGAACAGCGCACTCCCCTCGCGGCAGCCGTAGGAATTCCCACCCACCCGTCCGTGGATCGGGAAAAAACCGTTCCTTTCGAACCGCCTTCAAGGCAAACGAATGAAAAACCGATCGAGGGGGATCGCCGCGAGTTCCTTGATCCTCGTGTCAACGGGAACGACATGCATCAGGGGTGAGGAACGCGCTGGCAGCGGCACACACGCGGTGGGAAGGAACGCGGCGCGGAGCACAAGCGCATGCCCTGACCAGGCGTTGATGTCTCCGAGCGGCGTGCTCACGCGGCCTATGAAATCCACTTAAAAACCACTTACTCTGGCGTGCTCGGGCTTCCTGTTCTCCTTTAAAAATCTTCCCTACCCGGTCCCCTGGTCCCTGGACGTGTCACCACGGGAGAATTTCCACGAGCAGACGAATTACGAGCGATGCACTGGTGCACGACGACGGTGCACGCAACCCGCACGAGAAACCACGAGGACGGCGAGGAGCGGTCGAACAAAGGAGACGGTGGAAAGGAGAAGTGAAACAGAGAGGAAAACGCTGCAGCGCTGTGGGCGACCGGTTGTTGCCCGGCGCTGGGATCCGCCGATACGAAAATTTCGCGTTAGTCGCACAGGTGTGTCACGGCCGGGCACTTTTGTCTCTCGCCCGTCCAGGGAACCGGAACAGCCGACCACGTCAGAGGACACCGGACCGAAACCGCCGAGAGTCGCACGGAAAAATTTCTCGTCTCCCCCTTGTTTTGTCCGCGATTTTTCGAGCGTTCCCGGACGACCGGACCACGACTGCGTTCACGACGCGATTCCCCCGGATCCGTGGTATGCGGCCGCTCGACCTCGCCTAAGGAGATTTTAGTTCGCGTCGCCAACAATCGGCGCCACCGTACGCTCCTCTGTACCGTTACACGCATTACAGGTGGCTCGTGGATTCCCGTGTCCCCTTCTGGATCCCCCTGTCCACGGTCTCTACCTGGAGGAAAAGGACGCGCGCTCGATCCGGACGGAGACGGAGACAGCGAAAGAAATGCGGGATGAGGATTAATGAGTATTCGGATGTGGATTTTCGAGAGTTTCTTTCAGGATGCTTCTGTAACGTCGAGATGCTTCGTGTCCGGCGAAGCTGCGGATGGAAATGCTTCTTCTGTTCGGTCTGTCGCCGCCGAGTTTCTGGGGTTCTTTTTAATCGACTTAATGAAGAGGAGAGTCTGTGGGTAATCAGCGGAGGAGTGGTTTGTATGCATTTAGTTTGAGCTTTTTGTCTTGTTAAGATCTATTGCGATTTTCATTGAGTTTTCGTCTTTCTTGTGAATGAGTTATCGTAGTAGTCGATGAATTTTCGGTTTCTTTGATTAATGGGAGATTTGGAGGACGGCTATTAGGTAATTAATTCCTTTGTAATCGGTTGAAGTGGTACACGAGATCTTAGCAATGAATTAGGATTTTCGTTGACAGTAATTCCTTTTGATCGATGATTATCGTAGTTTCATTTGTGCTTCGAAATTCAAATTCAGTTCTAAGAGAAGAAAGTACTTCAGCAGATACTGTCTTGTTATTTTAGAGAATTAATGAGCTAATGGACTATTGTTTACGAATGTTCTTCTATACGGTGCACTGAAAGTCGCTCGGATTTTCGAAACGAATATCTTTTCTGTCACCGTCACCCATTTCCCTCATTCTCGTTCAGTAGAACGAAAGGCTACACCTTTGGGCCGACACGTGCTCGGACGAGATCCAAAAAGTGAAAAGCTACCTGGAACCCGACCACGGGGACAATGGTCTTCGATTAGGTGACCTCACGGGGTGCGTATTTGGGAAACGCAGGTAGAGCAAGGTATGCACCTGCGACTGCCAACTTTCCGGCGAGACACCAACGACACCTGAACAGGTACATCAACGTTCGAAATAGTCATTCATCCCACTTCGGCGATTCCTGAGGCATTAGTCGAAGCGAGAACGCACTCTAGATTGCACGTTTCGAAAAGCAGAAAAAGAGTCAAAGTAGAAACGTAAAAGAAACAACGGAAATATTACTTTGAAGAATAAATAGCAATTATTAGCGAAATGAAATGATATTTTAAACTGAAAGTAAAGTGGCAACGAATAAGGAATACTTATTTAGAGTATTTGCGTAGTGAAAATTGCCAGAAGATTTAGTATCATACAGAAAGTGATGAAAATGAAAGAATTCAGTTTATTTTCATTTATCTTTAACAATTCGCGTTTGGCAGTGTTATGAGGGTATTTAAACCCGGCAGAAAATAGGAAGACTGTGCGGTGCTGACATCTAGCGGTGATGTGTATGAAGGTAACGTTACAAACTACTTGTTCGAGTCATGGAATCAGTATCCTAGATCAAGTATCGAGTCTAGATCCCAGACTAGACTTAAGATACTAAGTCAGTATCACAAGCCTGTAATTCTCAGGATGACTTTCCTCAGTTTGTTGCTAGATGGTAGCACCATTCACTTGATGTGAATTCTCGTGAAGTTTATCAGCTGCGAGTACTGAGAGAATGTTGCGGCTTTCGTCGTCAGATGACACAGTCATATATTTACTGGTGTCTCGTCGGTGTAAGTACAATTACAGAAATTGTAAATTAATTTTAATATTCTGATAAATGTCTATCAGAAATTAGCACGTAGAAAAATTTAATATCCTGACAAAAAATAGAACGTTTCTGTTTATTTATTTGTATTTGTTTAAGACTTGAGATGTTTTAAGTCTGTGCCGGCAGTGGTACAAACTTTTACAGTGCACATCCTTTCCATATCTCGTCAGTGATAGCACGATTAACGTACAGTTGTACAAGTAGAGAATTCTTAGGGAACTACTATACCGATGCTTAGTAAGTCAGTTGAATAACGATAGACGATGAAAGGTCTTGAAACAGATCTACTGTTGCAAAAGAAACTACCTACGAGGCACGAGTGAAAGATGCGATTGTAAATAAAAGAATTATTTAACATATTGACTAGCACTATTGAGAATGTTTAGTAGAAGGTGTGAAATACACATAACCAATTAAAATCCTTCATCAAACAATATCATTTCATCAGAACTTCACAAACTCTGAATTTCGAGTCTATTCAACTCTCGTATGAATAATTGTTCAAACATTAACCGAGGCACAATGTAAATTCAAAACAGAAGAAAACTACCCTTAAATCGACCACAATCTCCAAGGAACAAATTGCTCGGTATTCCATATCCGTCGTCCGTGCACGAAATTAATTAAGACCATCTTGAAAAGTAATCTGCAATATATCTACGTCAACGATGACAGCACGGATTGCTTTAGCCTCGCGTCAAAAATGAATTCGTTTGAGAAAAAACGATACGATCGAGAGGGAAGGCACCGTAGCCGACCCCTTTCCCGCCGCTGTTATATATCACGTCGGCTGACAATTTTTATATAGATTCAAAGAATTATTGTAATTCAGGTACAGAAGCCGATACCCTTCTTCGATTGATATGGATGAGACGGCCCCGACTTTTGATATACGCTCGATTTGAAATGGAAAATCATGCCTGGATTGGATTCGCACGTGAGCTGAAATAAAGTTACATCGGCAGGTTTAAGCCCCCACTATATTTGCCTGCCCTACGTGTCGATACCAGTTTGGCATAATACGTGTGCCGGAATTTATATAGTACTCGTTACAGGGAGCCCGGCGTTCGACATGCATAAAATTATTAACCAGCGCAACGAATGCGGCCGCGATTTTTCTTCCGTGCCGATTTTTATTTCGCGCGCCGCGGTCGCACATTAAAACCGCTCCATGAGAACGTATTTCACAATCGGTTGATTACGAGGGAAAATTCCCCGGGCGGGTACGCGTATCCGCGCGATTCCAGAATTCCAGCCGGCTCTTTCTTTTTCCGCGGGGGAAATATTTTTACCGAACGAATGGTAATTGGAAGAAAATATGTCGTTACGATTTCATTCGAGAAAACGAGTCAGCTTAATACACTCATTTTCTTGGACGTTTGCATTCGTTCCGGGAAGGTTTAAATCGGATTGCACGGATAATGAGTAGGTATATTCTTAAAATAAACGTTCGAAACCAAGGATAAAACGCGATTTGATTATTTATTTAGTGAAACGAGGTCGCCGCTACTGAAAAATCATATTTCGCCTCCGCAGGTTGCGCTCTCGTGCTTTAGGAGAAACCGTATGATAAAGCTGTCAATGCGAGACGTTTACGAAATCGTCGACAGTGGATAGACAATTTACAAATATAAGAAACCAATCGAATGCCACCGCAAGTGTATCATTATGTTATTTGCTACATCCTCTCGAGACTGATCTCCGAGTTACAGCCCATTCAACACCTATAAAAACTGTCAGCACATATTCCTTTGAGAAGGGAACAAGACAAAAGGACACTATCCGGCAGGGAACTTTATTCCCACAAACGAGCCACGAAAACGCCGCTTCCAGTCCCGACATCGCGAACTAATTTCGAAGTTGCGGAGGCCTGGGCTCGCATAAAATTAAGAAAATCTATCCGCACCATCCGCCCTCCGAAAAACTTCGCGTTCACGTGACTTTCTTGTTCTTTTTTCCTCTGGCGCGTCTGTTCTTCCTCGCGCTCGCGGGGGCGAGAAGAAGCGACCGCCGCGATGAATATGAATACAAAGTTCCAGAAGAAAGCGGGTTCCGGCGAAACGCGAGCGGCGAGGAGGGTGGCGGAGGGATGCGGCGAGCAGAAAGAGAAAAGGGAGACGCGCGCGCGGCAGTCCCTGGCAGCAACTTAAATTGACTCGATAAAAGTTCGCGGAATAAAGCGGTCCTGGGCTTCGCCACTATATCAGAAACATCTGCCAAACGTTATTACAACTTTGAATAAAGAACGGCGCCGGCCGAGCTGCCGTGGGGGGCGGCGGGGTGGAGCGAGGGGCGGCGGGCGGGGGTGCTAACCGGTCCGAGAAAGAGAGGAAACTTCCTTTTCTCGCGGTAACGACGACGAAGCCCGGCAGAATCCCTCTCTCCCTCAACCCCCAGCGCGGCCGAACTTTTTCGCTCCTCGACCGTGAGAACTTCGCCGATAAATCAAGTCGTTATTTTAATTTTTCCGGGCGGACCCGCATTAACGCGACACGCGAGCTGACGATGACGTTTAAGGTCTCTCGGTTTCGCTGCGGAACGTGTGACTGTTTTTTGCGCCGCGAGTTTTTTCGCTGACCGGTTGGGGGAAGTTTGTGGGAACAGGGTTTGATGATGGAAGTTCTGAGCTTTGGAATGGGATGATTAGAATTGAAGTTGGAGAAGTTAGTGGAGGAGATTTTTAGTTGAAACGAAGTTGAGGTTCGCGTAGTTTCGTTTGAATGTCAGTATAACGTGATTGTTCAATGGGATAATGATTTGGGATTGGACGCGTAGCGTTTGTGTTAGGTATACATGTAAGTTGAATCTTGCGCGTTCCAACAAGAGATGCTCGGTATCAGGAATATACATCTCGAGCATACATTATTCAAAGTAATCGACTTATCGCGGCTGAGGTCTTAATAAAGCAATTCCAGCGGAACGGCTAAAAACAAAGGAAGGATACTAAAATTTTAATATGCCCCGTTCGCCGTACGGAAACCAGGAAAAAACCAAGATAAGGAATTATAGCACCGGAATGAACCCCGCCGTTCTTATCGACAAGTCGAACGATCCTCGCCCTACCCCGAGAAGCGTCGATCATCGAGAGCTGTAGAAAAATCCGGGTCGGATCGAATCAATTAAAATCCCGGGTAATGTCGTGGATATCGAGAACGTCGGATCCAACGAGGCAGAAGCAAACAGATAACCGGGCAAAC